GGGGGGAGAACTTCCAGCGGGAAAACAACAGAAAAGAAAAAGATTAAAAAAAAGAAACATTTACAAACAATTCTTCTCATTGGAGAAAATGTAAAATAGATATTTCCGGATAAATCCTTTTTTTATTGTTCTTCTATGGAGGGGAGGAAACAATGGAAGCTCCGACTGATGTGTATTGCAGTAAGAGGACCTGTCATGTGTTGATCGCTTCCTGTGTCTCCTTGTCCGGGACACACCGGAACCTTCCCGTTTCCTGTCCTGGTGTCACCGGGAGAGGAAGCGAAGGGAAATCTCCCCCAATGAGACGCAAAGATCAACAAAAAACTTGTGAGTTCTGACTCTAGACGAGTCGCTCTGATCGTCACTATCACAGAGGCGCGCTGGATGCTTAAAGGGAAAGTACCGGATGTAACTGTATCACTCACCTGGTCTATGGAGAGGCTGCGGCGTAGGGACACAAAGGGGGATTATTTATAAAGAAATTCACATAGATAATTACCCGGTGTGTATATGTGTTGTGTGTGAATTAAGCGACATTCACTCATTCGTGTTCGGGCGGTGGCTGTGTGTGAATGGGTCAGTGTCAAATGTCTGCTGCTTCTCCTTTCACTGTCCAGTCAAAATCTGGGGGAGGGACAAGACATGTAAAATCAGGTCTCCTGCCAGGCAGGGCTGCACTGCGTACATCTCAGGACAGGAGGGGGCGGAGACTAGACCAGTCACCCTGCACAAGGAGAGCGAGCAGCAGTGACCGGTCTCTATTACAGGAGGGGGCGGAGACAAGACCAGTCACCCTGCACAAGTAGAGGGAGCAGCAGTGGGCGGTCTTTATTACAGGAGGGGGCGGAGACAAGACCAGTCACCCTGCACAAGGAGAGAGAGCAGCAGTGACCGGTCTTTATTACAGGAGGGGGCGGAGACAAGACCAGTAGTGAGCGGTCTTTATTACAGGAGGGGGCGGAGACAAGACCAGTCACTCTGCACAAGGAGAGAGAGAGCAGCAGTGAGCGGTCTTTATTACAGGAAGTCTCACACGGGATGACTGCAGAGATCTGGAAGAAATACACAAAGCTCATCGACATTCAAGAAGAATACACAGGACTCTGGTATGAGGACAATGTCTGCATCATGGAAGTGGGAGGAGTTGGCTTTTTTTGTTTGCAAGAGTCCAATTCTCCTGTCGGCAGCAGTATAACCCGTATGTCTCAGAATCCTCCTGACCCTGTGTCCCCTGATGAACCATTAAGAAACAAGTTTGTCTTGAGCAGAGCAGAGCTCCATCCTCCTAGGACACTAGAATAAAAACCTGAGGAAGTTGGGAGTTGTTATGCTGGGTTGGCCTACAGGTTTTTGTTTGCCAGTGTCCAATCCTCCTGTAGGCGGCAATATAACCCGAATATTAAAGGAGAACTTTCTCACTCGCCTCATAGTTCTAGCCGACCTGTGACAATGAGACTGTCGCAGGTCGGCTCAGTAGATCGGGAAGTGAGAGAACACATACCGGCGTTCGCTCACCTCTCGATCCTGTCACGGCTCTCTGCAGTGACAGGGGGAGGGGCTGGATTCCCCCCTCCCCGCTCCGATCCTCCAGCGCTGACTGGCTGAATGGACGGGGAGGGTACAGCTGGCTCTGCCTCTAGATAGGCGGAGCCAGCTGTCACTCACGCAGCTGGGCGGATCTCGACATCGATTTCGGGTTCCGCTCCGGCTGCGGCGTCTCAGTATACCGCGAGCTGTAGCTCCCTATATACTGAGCTTAGTGTGACGGGAGGACGCTACTTTGTGTCCTCCCGTTACCCTAAGGCCCCGTTCCCACTGCGCGATATGCAAATCGCGCGTTTTGTCGCGCGATTTGCATATTGCGCGACATCGCGAGATTTGCCGCGCGTTGTCGCGTTCAAGCTTGCATTGAGCAAGCTGGAATCGCGGCTAAATCCGCTCCAAAAAGGGTCCTGCTGTAGCGACACACGACCCGCGACAGCAGGACCCTTTGCCCCATTGGATTGCATTGGAGCGCGATATCGCGCGGTAATTTGCCGCGATATCGCGGGAATTACCGCGCGATAAATCGCTCAATGTGAACGGTGTCTTAGGAGAACTATGGGGAAAAGCCCTGACCTCGTACTTCTCCTTTAACCACCTCCCTAACACCGGGGACATCTATTTCTGGAATGGGGTTGCTAGAACGTCAGTCCATGAATAGCCATTGTGTGTGCGCACTTATCTCTGTGTACCGGAGTTGTCCTCAGTACACAGGACCAGCGCACCAAGCCGAGCGGCTCCGTCCCTTGTGATCACTGAAGATCCCTCCTCTGTAGTAGGGAGGAATGGGAGCACGAAGGAGTCAGCAGCAGCTCACGGTTCATATATTCATTCTCTCTGATCTTTTTTTTTTACCCCTTCGGTGCCCCTCCTCTGCTACCGATCTCCATCCTGCCACTGCACGTGACCAGCACATTAGCCCCTTTGCCTCCCGATCCCTCTGTGCATATGCCTGCGGTGCTGTACATAGTCCACCATGACCAAGCTCCATGTTTTAAGGCCGTGACACACTGCACGCGAAGCCGTGCAGAGCGAAGCAAAGCTCTCCGGCACGGAGCTTCGCGTGCAGTGTGTGAGCTGAGTGCCGTCAGATGATTGACAGCACCTTCAGCCAATCGGCTCGTCCGTAGCAACCAGCCAGCTGTCGCATCGCGACGCGCTGGTTTATATACGCGCGAGCCGATTGGCTGAAGGTGAAATTGTTCATCTCGGCACGCTCAGCTCCGCCAGCTCTCGCAAGCTGAGGTGCCGAGCAGAAAATTACATGACACACCGCTCGCAAAGGCAGCGCGCCCACCGCTCCGCGCTGCTTCGCCTGCAGTGTGTCACGGCCTTTAACCACCTCAGCATGTTTCTACACACTGCTTCAGCTAAGACAATGTTGTAGGATGTCTGGTCACTCTGTCACCCAGAAGAAGGGACCCTGCGTGGCCCCGAAACGTTGGCTGTGTGACGATTGAATAAAAAGTGCTTTACTTCTTGCACACATCATCGAGTGCCGGTGACTTCTATTATGGACTGTATGTGACACGGCGCCATGCGTGTTGTCACTTCGAGCACCGACCTCTCATCCAAGGTCTGTATGCTGCACGGAGTGCCGGTGATTTTGTATTATTGGTGTAAACTAGGGATGCACTGATACGAGTACTAGTTTCAGCGCCGCTGCATAGCGCCGATGCCGGTGCTTGACATTTTTAAATAACTGGCCGTCTGAAGTCCCATGCTTGTTGGGGACCTCAGGCAGCCTGCTGGGGACTTCGTGATAGCAATCCTTGGCAATACCAGTCCAGTTTCCCTAACCCTTCCCAAGACTGGCAGTGCCCTGGACAGCCCCCCACCCGCCCGTACAGCCCTGGGGAGCCCGACACCCACCCGTTCAGCCACGGAGAGCCCGGCACCCACCCATTCAGCTCTGGAGAGGCCGGCACCCACCCATTCAGCTCTGGAGAGCCCGGCACCCACCCATTCAGCTCTGGAGAGCCCGGCACCCACCCATTCAGCTCTGGAGACCCCGGCACCCTGGTGACTTTTCCTTGTCTGTGGGGAAGAAAATACCCAGAAAACAGGACGTCATGCTGAACGTAAACATCATTTATTAATCTTCGCTGCTGTAGCAAAGGGACAGTTTTGCATATTTATTTTGTAATTTAACAGCCCTGTGATATCAACAAATGAGAATCTGCCAATCCGCCGTCTGACGCTGAAGCCGATTCCGGCAGTCTCGGGTTAAGGCAAACCAAAACAAACTGCTCACGATTAGACAGATGCCAATGGGCTTAATAAGGCTGATGACGGGTTTCTTACCCCCCTCCGGGTCTCCGCAGCCCCTGTCCGATCCTTCAAGGGAGACACCGTGATCACTAAAGGTTGTTCTCAACAGTCACTCTGATCACCTGCAACTTCTCAGTACACTCAGCTGCATTTATAATAGTCCGAGAATGCATTAAAGGAAAAATAAAGCACACTAACGCACAATGATGTGTTACAGTTAAAAAAAAACAAATTGCGCAAGTCCGTTGTGTGTTGGCAGCACACTCACATGCATGATAATACATCGCATTAGACATTGCATTGGAGTGAAAGCTGCAGCCTCAGACTGGAACAACGAGCCTCCGAAACGTCTGAAAATGATCTCGTCTGCAGCAGGAGATGTAAGGATCGGTCTTCTGCTCCACCCTGCAATTTAACCGATAACCTGGAGTCCAGAAAGAAAATGGCCGACTTCAAAACAGCCCCCCCCAAAAAATAGAGCCAATTCTCTGTCACTGGGAGCTCAGCATTACACCGAACATAACTCACCAGGACGCTCAGCATTACACCGAACATAACTCACCAGGAGACTCAGCATTACACCGAACATAACTCACCAGGACGCTCAGCATTACACCGAACATAACTCACCAGGAGGCTCAGCATTACACCGAACATAACTCACCAGGAGGCTCAGCATTACACCGAACATAACTCACCAGGAGGCTCAGCATTACACCGAACATAACTCACCAGGAGGCTCAGCATTACACCGAACATAACTCACCAGGACGCTCAGCATTACACCGAACATAACTCACCAGGACGCTCAGCATTACACCGAACATAACTCACCAGGAGGCTCAGCATTACACCGAACATAACTCACCAGGAGGCTCAGCATTACACCGAACATAACTCACCAGGAGACTCAGCATTGAGGAAGAATCTCTCCTCTACTTATAGAAAACTTAAAGTCCTTAAAATACTAGAAGTGATAAAATACACTAGAAACGCGTGAGATGTAGTGCTGTCCCCGATTTCAGGACTGCGATTGGTTTAGCAACTGCTCTCTATTAACAGACTCAAATTCAAGCAACAAAACTAAGTGACCATCCAGAATCCAGTGATATCCTAAAAGGTGAACTCGGCTTAATGTGAAACAGCTAACATGAGTCGAATGAAAGAACACAACAACTTCGACCAGGGCTGGGCCAAGGGGAAGGCTGAAGAGGCGGCTGCCCTGGGCGTTTCAGCAGGAGGGGCAGTACCTATGCTGCTGGTCATAACTCACGGAGGGTGCAATTTGGGCTTTTTGTCTCGGGTGCTAAAGGATCTTGTCCTGCCACCGATGTCAACCATCTTAAGAAAAGTTATGGGGTCCCCCAAACCGCCTCTACGGCCCCATACATTCAAAAAAAGGGAGCCGCCGGTGGCCATTCCTTCTCCGAGTTCCACTGGTGTCAGGGGGTGGGCAAAGTTAATTACGCTGGGTGTCTGGTTTTGGAGACCGACTACAGTGTCACTTTGGCCACGAACGCTTCTGTTCGCAAACAATTCGGTTTGTGAACAGGAAGTTGGGCAAAATATTCGCGAACTCCGCATCGGCCGACGAACACGACCGCAGCCATCTCCACATGGTCGTGGCTTCCTCTAGTCGAGATCGCGGTCCGATCACAGTTTGATTCGGTTCGCGACCAGAATCGTGGTACTAATTAAGTCCGTGAACCGAGGTACCGCTGTAATTTGCAGATTAGCAGCCCTCCCGGCTTCGGGGACAGAACCTAAATTGTTGATTTCGGTCTAACCAGTTCTGCCATCAGAAACTATGGAAAGGTTTTCTTTAGACCGGCATTCCCCTTTAAAGTCAAACCCATTAACAGATGGTAAAGCTGGAGGAGTAACATGGGGGCCTCCTGGTCACTCTGATTGGGTATCACAGGGGTCAAGTGATCAGGAGCCCACCTACCAGCTCCTGACAGTTGCTAGGTGGCAGGGAGAGGTCAGTGACAGCGCGGTCACAGAGCTGGAGGCGCAAGCACAACACAAACTGCATTTAATGGCAACACGGCATAAGGCCCCGGCACTATCCTGCCATGTATACACCGAGTGGCCAGATTATTATATACACCGAGTGGCCGTATTATTATATACACTGAGTGGCCGGATTATTATATACACCAAAAGCTGACGTCAAGCAAAGTCTACAAAGTGCTTTGGGGTTCGGGGTGAATAATCTCACTTTCGAAGCAACAAAAGTATCCCCATGTACAGGCAAGCCTCCAATCTTGCTCAGCGGCGCTTCTGCTGCTCAACTGCCTTGCGGGACGTCATTGGGAGGAGAGTCCGGTGCTGCGCTACCCTCGCGCGTTTGTTTGGCAAACTTTGGGTCTTGCTTCGCCTCCTCCTCGTGCTCCCACTTATGTCTCGTGAAAAGTGATTTCTGCTCAAACTGTTTTCCGCACACGGGGCATTTGAAGGGCTTTTTGGGCACATGAATCCTCTCGTGCCTGTGCAGCTGGGACTTGGTGTCGAACAGCCGGTCGCACTTGCTGCACTTCACGGTTTTCCCCTTGAGGTGCCGCCTGTGGTGGACGAGCAGAGTGCATTTGTGACCGAACCTCTTGCCGCACTTGTCGCACTCGAACGGTTTTTCCCCGGTGTGCGCCCTCTGGTGAATGATAAACTGAGATATGTAGTCGTATTCCAGGCCGCAGATGGTGCAGGCGTAGCGCTTGTTGGCGTGGTTCTCGGCCTTGTGCTTAACCAGCGCCGATCGGGTGTTGAAGACCTGGCTGCAGTCATCGCACGCCACCTCCTCCTCATCGGCGCGGTAATTCAGGTGCCGCTGCGTCTTCAAGTGACTTCGGAAACCCCGTCTGTCCTTCAGGGATATGTTGCACCTCAGACACCAAAACGTTCGCGACCTCCCGTCTGCGGAGTACTCGATTTTGATCTCGGGGTTCCCCAGGAAGGCGTCTTCGGTTTTGCGCTTTTTGGAGCTGTCGGAACCGCCGTCTTCGTCTGTGGATAGCTCGGAATCGCTGAAGTCGCTGCGGTCACTCTGTGGCTTCCACTCCGGGGAGTTCTGATGATCCGGGGAAGGTTTGGCTTCGTCTTCACTCGCCGATTCTTCCCCTGGAGGAGAAAACGAGACACCGTAAAAGATTTCACAACCCTCGGGAGCATCGGTAAACCAGCGGCTTGCTTACAGAGGCTGAAGTCGCTACTCTGAATTTCCCCCCCCAATTGTTTAACCCATTCATGAAGCTGCTCTGGGCTATTTGAATGCTAAACTCCACCCAGAGGTAGATTCAGACCAGCAAAGTACCGTATTTTGCGGTCCATAAGACGCACCGGACCATAGGACGCAGGGAGGTCCGGCGCGCCTTATGGAGCACTCGACAGACTGTAGCTTCTGACACAGCTTCCATGACAGAAGCTGCAGTTAGTGACCACTGAGACAGGGGGCGCTGTGATTACAGCACCACGGTCTCAGTGATCACACAGAGCAGACGAAGAAAGTCCGTTCTTCGTCTGCTCTATGGTGATCTCCATCGTCGCCGCTGCTCGGTTTTAATACGAGTGATCTCATTAGATCACTCGTATTAAACGAGCAGTGGCTCCTACCGTACTACTCGCCCGGCGCCCGAAACTGCATGTCTCGGGCGTCGGGATTCGCTCCATAAGACGCAGGCACATTCCCCCCCTCCTTTTGGGGGGAAAAAAGTGCGTCTTATGGAGCGAAAAATACGGTACTTTCCTTATTTGTTAAAAAACGCTCTCCATTTCCTTTCACAGGTCCCTCCTTTTTATTGTTTTTAGGTACAATCAGATTTTATTGAGATTTTCCATTTACAAAGAATATACATCAAAGAACAAGCATGCACAGAAAAACATTGGTCACAAAGAAACAATACAAAAGCACAGAACATAAGGTGGGCGTCCCCTAGGGAGCCTATCGTAGTATGGTAACGTCACAGTAAAGCCCCGTTCACATTGAGCGATTTATTGCGCGGTAATTCCCGCGATATCGCGCTCCAATGCATTTCAATGGGGCAAAGGGTCCTGCTGTCGCGGGTCGTGTGTCGCTACAGCAGGACCCTTTTTGGAGCGGTTTTAGCCGGGGTTCAAGCTTGCTCAATGCAAGCTTGAACGCGATATCGCGCGGCAAATCTCGTGATGTCGCGCAATTTGCATATCGCGCAGTGGGAACGGGGCCTTAGTGATAATCAGATATTGGAACAAGGATCTGACACTGAACAGTGTATGCCAGTGAGCCATACAGAGTATTGTACAATAAGGGCGCGGGACCACTAAGGAGACCCTAAGGAGAACTATGGGGAAAAGCCCTGACCCCATAGTTCTCCTTTAAGGAAGACCTATCATGACAGGAATGCTATTTTAATAGCCGACAGGTTGATCTATTGGTTCAAATGTTTTCTAAGTTACTAATGCAGAACAAGGATGCAGATCTGTTGCTAGAACTCCAGCAAAGGGCAGTATCCGAGTTCATCTGACTCCCAATATCACAGAACCCTTTTGTCCCCTGGCAGAGAGATCACATAGGACCCAGAAACCACGCTCTCGGGGACAGCAGGCTACACGATAGATGAGGACTTGATCCTAATCAGACCAATTCACTGGCACAGACTGAAGAAGATAATGAAACCAAATGAAAAGTGAGCTTGTGCCTAGAATATTTTTGGAAGGAATTTAGATGTGAGCAGCCAAATCTTGGAGCCGATTGGCTTTCTCCTAAATGTGCGACGGTAGCATAGAGCCCACCCAGGACCCAAGCACAGAAAGAGACCGAGGTGTCTCAGGTTTGGACTGCAGAAGTGACAACTGGAAGATGTTATTTGTGACCCGACAATACCTGAAGCCAAGTCTTGCTGGGACTCCGTCAGCAGAGGGTCTTCAGGAATGATGTCAATGTACATCTCCTTATGAGCTTCGATATAGTCCCACTCGTCTGGGGAGAAATAGACTCCGACGTCACCACATTTCACCGGCACCTGCAACACACAACGCTGCTCAGCTCTGTGCAAGGAACACTTGGATCCCCCCAGGAGGCGAGGAATTAATCCCAGCATAGAAAGCTACATTAGCAGGGCTTGAGAAATTTGACGGTGTCTCACCAGTCAGGTCAAAAATTTCACCAGTCAGCATGACCGGACTACAGCCTTGCAATTTATGTAAAAAAATTTGGGGGACAAGAAGATCCCTAATGTCACCTAGGGACCCCCAGAGAAGCTCATGAAGCAGAGATCGGCATCATCAGCTTCTCTAGCTGGAGTGTGACACTGAATGCAGAAAGTGATGTAATCTACATCACTGAGAGGAGATCAAAGGGAGTTCGTACACTGAACTCCCTTTGATCTCCTGTCACAGAGCCGTGCCGGTCCCGGCCGCATCCGGCACAGCGGATCTCGGGACCGGCAACGGCAGTGACAGCTGCTAATACAAGCGATCGCTTGACTGTAAAGCTCCCGGCCGGCCGTGTAATTACAACGGCCGGCCGGGAAGCTGCTCGTCGGGCTCCACCGTCCTCTCGTCACAGACCAGAGGATTTTTTAAACCCTGTACATTAGTATTGCAGCGGAGTGACTTCTCATGCGTGTGTTCCGGTGTATCCGGCCCCGGCAGTAAATACACGCGTGCCGTAAGACAGGGTGGCCGGTCTCACAGCTCTGATTTAAAAGGCTCAAATTAAACAGCTCAGAACACAAATCTCGAAGCTGCCAGATTGTACATTTATATCCTTTCTAGTGACTGTCAGCAGCTACTGCAATCAACCAGCAGTATTGGATTTTGCACCAACATTTGCCCACTGAGGTCACCGCCCGGGACTAAGTCACAGGTCAGCGCACACCGAAAAGTGTCCAAAACAATTACAATAAGATCTCAGGCAGAAACAGGATAATTGGTGTACGCGTTTCGAGGGCTAAGTCTCGCCCCCTTCATCAGGGCTTGTACATGGAATATATCGTTTTATCTTTGCAGTGAACAGGAAATGAGACTGTCACAGGTCGGCTCAGTAGATCGGGAAGTGAGGGAACACATACCGACGCTCGCTCACTTCTCGATCCTGTCACTGCAGGGAGCCGTGACAGGGGAGGGGCTAGATTCCCCCCTCCCCTCCAGCGCTGACTGGCGGAACGGACGGGGGAGGGGACGGGCACACCTGGCTCTGCCTCTAGATAGGCGGAGCCAGCTGTCAGTCACACAGCTGGGCGGATCCCGGCACAATTGTCGGGATCCGCTCCGGCTGCGGCGTCTCAGTATACCGCGAGCTGTAGCTCCCTATATACTGAGCTTAGGGTGACGGGAGGACGCTAGTTTGTGTCCTCCCGTTACCCTAAGGAGAACTATGGGGAGAAGACTGACCCCGTACTTCTCCTTTAATGAAAGATATTCAGTATTGATTACAGATTTTTGGCAAGCCGGTCAGCAGTGATTATGAACTTCGATACTCTGGTTTGGCGCCTCAATCTCCACACAGAGACGCAGTGCAGAAAAAAGGCATGACGAGCCAATAATGGACGCATATAAAATTCTCTGCGTGCGCAGACTGGACCCTGCCGCTAGTCACATGGGATTTCAGGATGTAAATATAGACTTGAGATAGTGAGCGCCTCAGCCAGAGATCTACAATGACGTCATCCAGGCATAGGTGCTCGTCGCATCTCAGCGCAGCCTGGATGCTGAGAACGTGTGATGTATTATTGGTGAATGCGTTTCGAGGGCTAAGTCACATATTTATATGCAGGGCCGGCCCTGTTTATATGTGCTAGTGATGTCACTGCCAAACATACCATCAATTTCTCAGGAACAGAAATGCTTTGGAGGATGAGGAGAACTACAAGGACTGTGTAATATGCTTGTAAATGGGGACCAGCTGCAATGCGGACCTTACTACAGCCTTAACCCCTTCATGACTGAGGCCCTTTTTTCAATTTTTGCACCCATGTTATATTCCACATTTTAGGCCTGAAAATGACGTAAAACCCCCCAACATTATATATTTTCTGAATGCCAAGACCCTATAGAATAAAATGGTGGTAGTTGAAAATTTTTATGTTGCGCAATATTAGCGCAACTCCTTATTAAACCCCAAAATTTAGTGACAAATTTAATTAAATGCCCCAAAACACAACAAATTACCCATTTTTTAAATGAAATATAAAAGATGAGGTTACAACGAGTAAAACGATACCCAACATGCCCAGTTTACAGATTGCGTGCGACCGTGAAACGG